TGTTGCTTTTACCAATACTTTGGTTTTTTTATATATATATATATATATATATATATATATATATATATATATATATATACATATATATATATATAAATATATATATATAATTTTTACATATATATTTTTTTATATATTATATATAATTTTTACATATATATATATATATATATATATATATATATATATATATATATATATTTACATTTAGGTATGTCCAATCTTATATCTCTAATTCTCAAAATGTGTGTGTATGTCTGTGTTTGTGTGTGATCGGATGTTTTTTATGCATTTCCACAGTTTTCATCCGATTTCGAAGAAATTTTTTTTGTTTGATAGATAATTATTCAGTGCCGGTTTTGAGTCCAAATTGTTGGCGACAATGGCTCTCCACTACTTCCTGTCCATTATAACTCAGCAACATTTTACTATCTACTATCTGTTCTTGGATATATATCTTTCATGAAAACTTAAATAGTTTAAATTATTAAAATAATATTATATATTATTATACAGTTCCCTGTTCAGGGCCACCCCTCCCTGAATTCAAATTGTTAACCCCCCTATTTGGGGATGTGCGTCAGTTGCACCCAAATGTTGTTACTAATATTGATTTTTGTGTGGGCTGAGTTTAAACTTAAACTGCTCCAATTGAACGGAAAAAAATCTCAGTAATGAAAGACCCGGTCAAAGACGGGTACTGCTAGTACTTCGCTAAAAAAAAAAGAACATACCCTGATTAAAAAAGGCCCCAAACTTGATAAACAAATTTCTTATCGGCTAAATGTTTATGTTACATTTAATAGGAAAGACCAAAGTATTTTTTGATTATTTTTTTTAATTTTTTAATCCTTCCTGGCACGTCCGAAATTTTAGTTAAAAATCATGTCAGCAAAATTTACCTAAAATCGATCATGTCAGCTATTTTTGATAACTTTGTAAACAAAAGTGAAAAATCTTATAAAATTCAGTTTTTCAAAAGTTATTTTAGGAAAATTAGAAAATTTAAAGTTTGCTTAATGTAATTAGAAACAAACATTACTTAATTTTTAGCAGAAAACAATTAGTTGGAAATAAGAGAAGCGTGTCTCACCCTGGTGATTGATTTTGGGGGTGTGAATTGACGTTTACGTCAATGTATCGACAACTAACGTCAGGGCAATTTATCGGACAGAAGGACAGAAATGACAGTATTTTCGAATTTTAAGTGAACGAGCTTATTTAACTACGAGTAATTCTTAATATCAAATACTTTCAAAAGTCTAATATTTTATTGATTTTTAGGTACTTTTTTTAATGAAGTTATGTCTAAAGCCTACACCATTTCCGTTCCTAAATTTGAACCTAGAAAAGAAAAAATTAATAATTGCAGTGTGTCTGTCACTGAAAAAGAAAAAATTGATTATATTTAAAAAATGAAAAGAAAATATTTCGTGAAATATGTAAAAAAAGAAAATTTAAAATTTTGGAAATGCATTTTAGTCAGTTTTAGAATTTGATACGTGCTAGCCAGAACGAAAGCAATGCAATTTATGAGGCCGGATCCTCGCTATCAGGGGAAACAACTCTTAAAATACGTGACATTATTTCTGACTTGTGCCTCCGTAGTTTTCGTGGAAACGTTTATAATATATTTTTGGCATAATAAAAAATTATTTTAAAAATACAAAAGCGTTCGCAGATTGTAATACGCTTTCAAATTTAAGCTCTATAAAAATAGATGTTTTAATAAGAGATTTTCAAAAAGATACATATTAAAACTTAATTTTAAAATATGTGACAATTTTATCACAATTTTAAGTTGAAAAACAGAAAATTCTTGTAAAAATTCATTTTCTTCGGAAAAAAATATTTTGTCTTCAGTCAATAATGTCCTTAACATATGTTTTTCCTAAAAGCCATTAAAAGCTTTTCTAATTAAATAATGTCTTAGTTTTATTGGGTTTTGTATTCAGGGCTAAGTTTTGGGTAGAAACGCTTCTCGATTTACAAAAAAACTCGGTGTTTTATATTCTTTAAAGTTTTCTGCATTTAATTAAAATAATCACAAAAGTACACAGTCGAATTTTCGAGTTTTCATAAAATTAAGTAAGGGTGGATAATAAATGTAAAAAATATTTTTATTATGACTTTCAATAAACAAACATTTCTGAAATAATTTCTGAAAATGTCATTAAAGACCAAAAAAATGCTAAAAGAACTAATGCTAAATATCACGTGACCGTCAACGTAAAAAAAAGATTTTTAACCAAAATTTCGAATGTACTAGAAAAGATTAAAAAAAAATTTTTTTAAATAATTTTAACATATTTTGGTCTTCTCTCTTAATAATAATATAAACATTTTAACGATAAAACTTTGTTTTTATTACATACAAAAAGTTGTTTTTTTTTTTTTTCATCATTCTATACCGCGTTTTGGTAAATTATTGAATATATATATATATATATATATATATATATATATATATATATTTTTAAGCGTTTCACCTCAATTTAAA